TTTCTTCATGGATAATATTCTTGATGTCATCCCACAATTCCTCTGGTTTTTGGTCACTGGTGCTCAGTGCATTAAATGTATTCTTTAGATGGTCTCTAAATTCAGGAGTGGTATTATCAAGGTCATGTTTTAGCTCTCATGGACTTGTTTTAATTGTCCTCAACTTCAACTGGAATGTGCATATGAGTCTTGTTCTGGCTGAAGACACTGAACTTCTCCATTGACTCCTGCCACAGATATAGGCAATCTGATTCCTGTGTATTCCATCCAGCAAAGTCCATGTGTGTAGCCATCACTTATGTTGTTGAAAAATGGTATTTGCAATAAATAAATCAGTCTTGCAAAATTCTATCACGTGATCTCCAGCATTATTTCTATCACCAAGGCCATATTTTCCAACTACCAATGACTCTTCTTTGTTTCCAACTTTTGCACTCCATTCACCAGTGATAATCAACACATCTTGATTGCATGTTTGCAATCAATTTCAGATGGCAGTTGGTAGAAATCTTCAATTTTCTCATCTTTGGCTTTGGTGGTTGGTGCATAGATTTGAGTAACAGTAGTATTAACTGGTCTTCTTTGTAGGTGTATGGATATTATCCTATCACTGACAGCATTGTACTTCAGGACGGATCTTGAAACATTCTTTGCGATGAAGAATGCCATACCATTCCTCTTCAATTTGTCATTCCTGGCATAGTAGGTCATATTGTCTGATTCAAAATGGCCAAAACCAGCCAAAACCAATCAGCTCACTAATGCCTAGGATATTGATCTTTATGTGTTCTATTCCATTTTTGACAACTTTCACTTTTCTTAGATTCATACTTACTTTCCATGTTCTAGTTATTAATGGATGTTTGCAGCTGTTTCTACTCATTTTGAGTCATTCCACATCAGCCAATGGAGTTCCTGAAAGCTTCACTATATCCACATCATTAAGGTCATTTCTACTCTGAAGAGCCAGCTCTTCCCCAGTCATATTTTGAATGCCTTCTGAGCTGATGGGCTCATCTTCTGGCAGTATATTGGATGTTTCAGGGCTTGCAGAAACAGCAAGGAGGCCACAAGTTCTGACCTCCTCTGACCTTACAAGAGGAAGACAGGATTACCAGCAGTAACCCAAGGCCTATTCCTACAAGGCCAGACATGCTGCTTCCCTCCAGCCCTTTCTCCAACCGTTCCTCCCAAAGCA